CCGAAACAATGTTACCCAAAATTTGTCTTTAATCGTACATTTAAACGTAATCATACGTTTAATCATACGTTTAATCATATGATGATGATGTCATCGGTCATTTATATTACCGAATCACAACTTACCAGACAATCCAAACAACTTTGCGCAAATTGCCACAACTTAGCACAACTCATGTCAACAATATCACAAAAAAAAATTGTAACACTTTTATCTCCAAAAAAGAGTAAAATATTCGCGAACCTTCACAAGATCATTGTTATGATCACCAAAACATGCACAAGCAAAAATACCAAAATTAGGTTAATAACGACCTTGAGATACATTTTCTGATACATTTTCTGATACATTTTCTGATACATTTTTTGATACATTTTTTGATACATTTTCTAGGAAAATAAATCTAATTTTCTTTAATTCTTAAAAGAGATCTTTTTTTAAAGTTATCACGAGATTCTTTTTAACATTCCAAGTATTCAAAGTATTTTAAAGTTTTCATTCAAAAGTATTTTGAGGTATTCCGAGTCATAAGTATAAAAGTATATATATAAATACATTATTCGACAATCAAATTTGGAAATCATAACTTGTGATCTTTTCTTTTTTATTTTGCTTTCGTAAACTTGAGTTATTCCTTATAAATTATAATTAAATATTTAGACATATTTATATTTGGTGCAACAGATGATCTTTTAGTAAAAAAATTTTAAGTCTTTTTAAAAAAGAATAGGATTAAAAAGAATGATTGTTTTTTAAAAGTCTAGAATCGTCAAATCTTGTGACATACAAAAAAAATAAAAATCAGGTTTTTTTACGTTTTTTACGAATGTTACGTATTTTTACAACTAATTTTAACTGTTAACACATAAATTTTTTACACATCGTAATCTTTTTGACAGAACCGTTCCCATTACTGTATTAACTGTATTACGTATGCAATTTCATATCACATGAAACAGATCATCCTAAAATAGAACAAATCATGCACACGTTTTTTTTCCCTATGTTTCGAAAACAGTTATGCGTATATGTAATTTGGATATATGATTTAGTTATATAATTTTAGTATAATTTTACGTACGTATGTACGTATAATTTTAGTATAATTTTAGTCATGATTTATTGATTTATAAAAAACTGGTATACCCAAAATAGATACCATATAGATAATTTCCTATAGTAGTCAAGTAGTTAATATGTATTAATATGTATGCGTAGACTTTATACATACATAGATACATACGTACTGTACATACCAGATACTGTACGTATAAACGTACGTACGTACGTACGTAGCAGATAGTTGAATATCAGATATATGCATTTGTGTTGTGTTATGTACTATTAATACATTTTTAGATACTTTTTTTCTTTAAGTAAGATAACAATAGCCAAGAAAGATAAATATAGAATGCATACGTAAAAAAATTTATTATTATTATTTATTTAATATATTTGTGATACGATAAATTTAGCCAATTAAAACATGTGTTAATAATTAAATCGAGTATTAGTTAACTATAACAGTGTAACTTTGAATTGAACGTAAAAAGTTGTTGATTAACAATAATCATCTTTAAATTCTAGAATTGGTTTCATAACATATTGTATATACTTAAAATGATAAACTAGTATGGATTAGTATAGATTAGTACTACGTAATATTAGTTACATACAAGTTTATATACATACGTTATGTACATGTACGTACGTATGAACTTTTTAATTCTATAATTATACCAAAATGTATTAATTAAAAGATTATAAGTTCTATATTAGGATCTTATATTATTTTCTATTTTCACATTGTAAAATTAGGTGAAGATGATAATCTTCTCGAAGGATTCTCAATAAAGTCTTTTGTTATCCTTTGTAATCATAATCAGGTTTAAAATTAAATTAAAATTTTGAATTCCTGGTTTCGAACTTTATCATCTGATTTTTTTAAATTTCTTATTATATTATTTCATTTTGAGAAAAATAAAATTCTCATTTTGAGAATATTTTTTCTCAAAATGATTAAAAATGAATGCACTATAAAGATAAACCAACCGTCGTTACCTTGAAGATCCGAACCTTCCGAAATTCGAATTCCCTTTTTTTATTTTTATCAGAAGGAACGTACGCACGCACGAACGCACGAACGCACGATATTGAGTACATTATAATTCGAGTTACAATTCGAATTACAATTCGCAATTCGAGTCACAATTCGAGTTACAATTCGAGTTACAATTCGAGTCACAATTCGAATTAAAATTCACAATTCCAGTCACAATTCGAATCGATATCGTACAATCTCGAGCCGATAGAGTACGATTGTGTTATTTAATTTTTCCTTTTTTTTTCATAGTCTTTTTATTTTTACATTGATTACCACCTACAAAGTACCCAAAGAAGAAGGTACGAAAGAAGGTACGAACAAAGGTACGAAAGAATGCAAATAACGTACGTACGTACGGATTAAAGATTTTTTTTCTAGATCCTATATTCGATAAATGATTAACCGGCTTAAAGTTTCTTCGATTATATTATACTTTGTTCAATAATAGCATAAACAAAAATAGATATATACCATGACCAAATAATCAATATTTGTAATTATATTTCCTTTTATAAAATTTAATTAAACAATTTCGGTTTACTTATCAAATATGTATCAAATAAGTAGGATTTTAGATTTGTTTCATCATGTGATTAAACGTATGATTAAACGTATGATTACGTTTAAATGTACGATTAAAGACAAATTTTGGGTAACATTGTTTCGG